CCCCTGCAGTGTCATTGGCCAACAAGTCCCCAATATGGAGCTTTTCACGGCCCTAAACCCAGCGACCCCTTTGGGCGTCGTTGTGGTGGGCATGAACAAGGATCTCTGTGAAGTCAAGTGGCAACACAAGGACATCCAAAAGAACCTCGACGAACTACGAACAAGTTTGCATGCGATGCACAAAGAAGTACTGAATCGCAACGAGCTACGAGCGAACAAGGCGACGAAAGCCACAGAAGACTACGAAGTCTGCAACGTGACCGAAGGCGATTATGTGTTATGGTCAAGAGTGGACGAGCGCTATCATCCCAAGCTACTCGTCACCTGGGTCGGTCCATACCGCGTCAAGTCAGTGGGCGAATTCTCCGTGATGTTAGAACATCTGGTGACACATGAAGAACGAGAAGCCCATACGTCACGCGTGAAGATGTATGCGGAAGCGAGTTTTGAAGTCACCGAAGAAATCCTCGAACATGTCTCCGAACAAGGCATTATATTGAAGGTCAAATCCATCGCGGGACACAAGTTTGTCCCGGGTGTGAGCGACTTCATGTTGGAAGTGTTTTGGCAAGGCTTCGAGGACATTGAGTCATCGTGGGAGCCGCTCAAGAAGTTGATGCGCGAATGCCCAGCCGTGGTCAAAACGTATGTGACGACCAAGAAGGACGCCGAAGACTATGAGAAACTGGCTACGGCGATGAAGCGGGCGAAGGCGGCCCAGTAGCAAAGCCGAAGGCCTGTGTGTCTAGGCGGCGACATGGCTTGGGGGGTGTGTTGTGGTTGGCGGCTGTCAGCCATGCCCCGCCATGACACACAGGGACTCTCGATGGGGTCCCTTGGCGCCAATCTTGTGAACCGACGCGTTAGATACACTCTAGTAGTACTAGTAGTAGTATTATGAGTTAGTGGAAGTGTCGGTTGGGAATGGTCACCATGGTTAGCCAATCAGTGGCCACCTGGGACCACCTGCCACTTCTACAGAAGCTCACTCCTAGTTTTGCTCTGCAACGGACATAACAATCAAGTGCGTGGTTCACGGGAGGCGGCGCTCCCCCATTTGGTTGCTTGTGTTGGCGCAGTGCGGGAAACAACACAGCCTGCAAGAGAACCCGGTATTGGCGGGGTTTTGCATTTATGGCGACCCAGCGTACGGGTGCCGGTAGTGTTTGTTGTGTCCATTTCCAATGGCAGCTTCTGGCTCACCGGAGGCCGAGTTCAATTTATGCATGAGCTCCGTGCGTGAGTCTGTCGAGTGGAGTTTCCACATCATCAAGAGTTTGTCGAGTTTCGTGAGTTACGACAAGAAAATGAAGGTTCGAAATTGCCCAGTAGGTTTGCTATGGCTAGTAGCAACATTTCTTACCAACTGCCATACGTGCATGAAGCCCCATGGGAATCAAATCTCTATGTACTTTGGTCTCCAACCGCCCGACCTCAACATGTACATTGGTATCAACAATAAATTTCAAACTTCACGATTTCGATCGTACAATTTTGTAAAGTAATAGTACAGTTTTGTCGCATGCTGATCATCGATACATATTATTCGAATCGTTTAGTCATTGCACTGATCAAGTATCAAGCGCTGATGTGCATTGTGTTGCGCAGCATTAACTGCGGCTTGCTCACGATCAAAATCTACGTGCAACTAACTGCTCAGCCGAAACTTCTTCTCTGCGACATTTTTCCTCAATACCACTTTCGATTGCGTGAATAAGGACCAAGTGTCAAGAGGGACGATAAAGGGGTAGCACTGGGGAGGAACGACGACGAAGAACACTTGTGTGGTCGAGGGCAAAACCAAAGATGATCATTAACGGACTGTTTAGCTGACCTATGATTGGGCATCAACAGTCCGGCTTCTACAGAGAAAGAACACCGGATAATTCCGGATGACCGGATATTATCCGTAAGGCCAAAGCAAGAACGGCCAAAGTGCCTTTTCTTGACAGCCACCCCACTGGGCAACGGACTGCTGAAGGCCTTCGAGACGAAGTTCTCAAAGAGAGGCAATGCCAAAGGCAAAAAGGGCTTAGCGAAAAATTCGCGAAGGCCAAAAAGTGCCAAAGGCATGTCACTACAAAAGCCACCCTGAGAACAGAGGCAAAGAAGGTACGACAGGAACACACAAAAAATAGTGTTGAGCACATAAGTGCATGGTTACTCATAGAGTAAGGCAGACGCCTAAGGTAATGCATAAATGCAAGGGTGCTCAAAGAGCAAGGGTGCTCGAAGAGCATGGTAAATACCATAAAGTGAATATATGCAACGAAGAATAAGACAGTGTGGCTAAAACTAGCGGGTAAAAACCCAAGTAAAATTGCCAGAAGCAAAAGTACAAAGTAATACTCAGAGAGTAAGGGTACACCCAAGTAAAATTGCCAGAAGCAAAAGTTCAAGTAAGACTCAGAGAGTAGTGGTATAAACCTCGAGGACGAAAATGAAGGCGGAGAATGAAAAGTGTTTGCTTAGAAAGCAGGTGCAAATAATGCATGATAAATATCAATAACAGCCATAAAGGCTTAAAAATAAAGTAAACGCAATGCCATAGGCAAGGGTCACTCGGGTACACGGCCACAAAGGTAGTCACCAAGGGCATAGAGTCGCAGAGCGAGGCAGAACCTGCGAAGCACAGGTTCCGGGTGCGCCTTCGTAAAGATGTCCGCAAGTTGTTCTTTGGTAGGACAATAATGGAGTATAAACTCCTTGTTCTCAACGAGATCCCGAACAAACATAAAACGCACATCAATGTGCTTGGAGCGCCCATGATGCTCAGCATTTTGGGCGATGCTGATAGCAGACTGATTGTCCTCATGAACCGAAATCGGTTGATCACTAGTGTGATGTAGTTCGGCAGCGAGTTGGCAAACGTATAAACATTCTTGAATGCAAAGAGCAAGAGCCACAAACTCGGCCTCGGTCGTTGACAGAGTCACGATACCTTGTTTCTTCGAAAGCCATGAAATAAGACTGTTGAAAAATAGGATAAAAATCCACTGACACAGCGTCGAGTATCGGGGCACATAGCATAGTTTGCATCCACATAAGCGGACAGAAACGGCTTGGAGACATAGTCTCGGCCACCTAACATGAGTCCAAGAGTGGAGGTGCCTTGGAGGTAGCGTAAAACGCGTTCGGCAGCACGCCAATGGGCAAGACCCGGGTTGTGCAGAAACTGCGAGAGTTGTTGTAGGGCACAAGCCAAGTCTGGGCGAGAGCCCATGGCTAAGTACATAATACTGCCAACTAATTGACCGATACGGTTTGGTTTGCATAAATGCAATTTCTTCAGGTGAACTAGCTCACTGAACCTTGGATATTGACCGATACGGTTTGGTTTGCATAAATGCAATGTCTTCAGGTGAACTAGCACACTGGGCCTTGGATAAAGGCGTGGTGCACTCAAAAGGAGTGGCGACAGGCTTGGACGTTGACATGTCAAAGCGATCAAGTACTGTAGAACAGTAACGAGATTGATGAATGAACAGAGTTCGTTTGGAACGGTCACGGACGATTTCCCAGCCGAGAATATCTCGAACAGGACCTAAGTCCTTCATCTGGAAGCGTAGTGATAGTGACTCCTTGAGAGCAGCAGCAAGAGCTTTGGTAGGAGTAATGATCAAAAGATCGTCTACATAGAGACTAACAATGGTAAAACCATCATCTCGGGCTTTGAGAAAGACGCAGCGGTCTTTGTGAAGGCGGGCAAAGCCCAGGGAAGCCATGTAAGTGACAAAAGTCCAGTACCATAGGTGAGGGGCTTGTTTGAGTCCATAAAGACTCTTTTGAAGTAGGCAGACATAGTCTCGCCTAGAAGCAGGGTCAATGAGTGAGCCAGGAGGCTGCTCCATGCGTATAACGCAGTCGATTTTGCCATTTAGAAAGGCGGTTTTGACGTCCATTTGCTCGCATTCCAAATCATGGATGGCCACTAAGGCAAATAGGAAGCGTAGGACTTCAAGTCGAACAACAGGAGCAAAAATGTCCGTGTAGTCGATGTCTTTTTGTTGCATGAACCCTTTGACGACAAGTCGGGCCTTGTAAGTGCCATCGGCTTTGAGTCGAAAGACCCAGCGACACGGTAGAACCGTTTCATCATGACGACGTTTGACGAGCACATAAGTGCCGTTAGAGAGTAAAGACTCGTATTCGACTTGGCAGCTAGAAGCCATTTGTCACGGTCGGGGCGGGACATGGCATCACGCCAGTCTTTGGGGTTGTTTGCACGGTCGGCAAGCAAAGCATAGACGAACAATGGTTCCATAGGAGCCAAAGTAGGAGCAGAGCTCGCAGGTAATAAAACACTTGACGGCGTAAGCACGAGTGCATGGTGCATGTGGTTGTGGAAGGTATCGAGTGACTCCAAAGGAGTTGTGTCCATGAGGAGGCAACTTGAATAATGACTAATAAAGTCAAGTGTTGTTTTGGCCATTGATGGCTTAGCCCACAAGGTGGATCCATGGGGGTGGTTCTTGATTCGCTACCGATTGTTG